ATCTGAGCCGAAGTCTGATGCTTAACCAACTGAACCACCCAGACACCCCAAAAGTGATTTTTAAACATGAAAACTTGCTCACTCTCAGGCAAAATAAAATTTAATAATCTGTGTAGACAAGAGTGTTAGGGAAAGTGTATATAATTGTGCATTTTGTGTTAGCAATTACAAATTATTTGGAGGCTAATTTGGCAATCTCTTTCCTTCAGAATCTATCCATTCTACTACTAAGAATTTACCCTGGAGATAAATCTGTGCAAAAGTGTCATACATGTGCAGACAATTAATGAAAGACGTAAGAGTCTAAACATATCCTAAACGACCATCAGTATGAGACTAAATAAGTGAATTAGAATTCAATCATATAAATTGAACCTATGAGGTGTATAAAAATGAACGAACATGAAGCAACCCCCAAGATAAGATAGGTAGAAAAGCAAGGTATAGAATAGTGAATACAGTATGCTATCATCATGCAAAGAAAACAATGTATACACATAACATTGTCTCTGGAAGTATGTACAACAAACTAATAACAAGGATTGACTAAGAACAGGAGGGAGACAGAAAGCATGGGGTAAATGAAACTTACCTCATTCGCATGTATACTCCTTTAATGTTTATCTTATGCCTGAATAAACATGCACTTGATACACATGAATAACCAAGTGGTCCGTTTTAAATTGGCCAATGAGTGGGAACAAATTCAGAACTAGCTCAATGGACTTAAAAGTTTTCCATTGCAAATGGTCTTCAAGTTCATGAAGTGTTCATTCATCACAGCAGGTGGCAGTGTTATACATGAAAAGAGCTGGAAACAGCGCCTTAGGACTTCTGGCCAGAAAGAGAACGGTTTCTTCATGTTTGAAATATGCTTAGATTTATTACTTGATTTTTAGAATTTTGAGCTGCAAGGGACCTTAGCAATTATTTAATCCAATATCTTTGCTTTATTCTCAAACACTGAGACCAAGAAGATGTCTAGCAGATCCTGTGCAGCTCAGCCAGGCAGAACCCAAGCCTCATGATTATTTTATCATAAGGACATGGTGTGACTGATGCGCACAATCGGTTTATGAATCTGGTTTTAAATTTCAGTTTTCATCAGTCTGGCTCTGCCCTTGAAAAAGAAGAAAGTCAAATACTTCATTTTGAGTTGCAGAAAGCACTGTGCTAGTTTATACACATACATAATTTTTGTGGCTTGTGTAAATAAGCCTTTCCCTCTAGCCTTTTATAAAATACGTCTTTTTAAAAAAAAATTCAGTGTCATATTATCTCTGTTCTCATAATATTAGTTGTTGTGTTGCCAGTCTTATGTTATTGGTTTTCCTCTTGTGCAAGATATTAGTCTTATTGATTAGTCTTATCTATGTGTGTTTTCCCTTCACTTCTTTAGTTGTTGAGAAAATATTCTCCCTCCTTTTCTCAGTTTATAGTGATTCTTGTTTTTCTCATGGTGCAAAGAAAAATATTAGAGGTCAACTGCACAGTCTCAATTGTTTAGTAACAACTGTGTATATTTGCCCACAGTGGGGCCCTCCAGAAGAGCATTTCCTCCTTACACACTTTTTTTCTGCTCTAACGCTCCTGAGCTCTAGAATGGGAGTTGCTGCCTACATCACCAGCACCATCAACCCCAACTTCCACCCATTGATGGGAACAAATACAAAAGGGGTGACAGATAAGTGAAGGTCACGGCCTCCACCTGCTGAGACAAAGCTCTCTCCCTCCCTGGTCCCCTCTACTCCAGTCAGAGGGGACAAATGAGGACAGAAAGTGACATTGACTACAGACAGAGGGCGGCCATGTGAGACAATGGTAAGAGGTCCACCCCAGGAGTAATGGTGCCTATTTGGCCCGATATTTCTTGGAACTGCCTCAGTCTAACCTTCTGACATTCTGTACAATTTGAGAAGCATTTAACTGGGTTAGGTCTGAAGTCATGAGGCATGTCTATTTTATCAGTCTAAAAGAGTCAGAACACATGAATGGTAGCCCCTGTTCTCACATATATTACATATGTTTTTATGGCAAGTAGGCCCAGTGAAATCAGTCACCTGGATGTTATTAGAATTCTCTAATTCCTAACATTTCCTAACTTAGGCTTGGACGGCATCAGTGTTTTCAAGGTGGTACAAATGTGAGACTCACTTGGAGTCTTTCTTGAAAACAAAAGATGTTTAGATCTCACCCTTGGAGACTTTTCTTCAGAAAATCCAAAATGTGGCCCAAATTTTGTGTTTTTAACAAGAAATCCTCAATGGTTTTTATTATCAAGAAAGTGTTAGAACATTTCAAAAAATCCTCCAAATCGTGGAATGCTATGATAACTTCCTTCTGGGATTGTTCTCTTTTTTCTGTTGTGTTCTGCCTGACATTATCCTTCCTTCACCTTTGGTTTACACATACCTTAGGTTTTGCGCATACACAGGCTTATTTCCCAACTCCAACTAACAAGCTCTGGTGGACGAATGGTTTCTGTTCTTTGATACTGTGCCCAGCTGGATAATTCCCATTTGCCCCTCCACTCTCTACCCTTGTCCACCTGATCCCTGTTGTTGGAATCAACTTTAGACAATGTCAATGGGCTCCTTTGTCCTCTGACTTCCAATTGGGTTTATCTAATGGGAGGCATTCGCAGAAGAGTAGAGAATGAGAGAAGAATAACATTGGGTTATTTATCAGCCTCATCCCCACTCCCTCCTGATTACTCACAGGATCCCTGTGAGGTGGCTGTGTCCTTCTACAGCCCCCTCAGTGGCCTTTCTTAGAAGACCTACTGGGATTCCTTCAGGCCTAGGGTTTGAAATATTGTAGTTTCTTTTTTTTTTTTTTTCAACGTTTATTTATTTTTGGGACAGAGAGAGACAGAGCATGAACGGGCGAGGGGCAGAGAGAGAGGGAGACACAGAATCAGAAACAGGCTCCAGGCTCTGAGCCATCAGCCCAGAGCCCGACGCGGGGCTCGAACTCACGGACCGCGAGATCGTGACCTGGCTGAAGTCGGATGCTTAACCGACTGCACCACCCAGGCGCCCCGAAATATTGTAGTTTCAACACTGTAGCCAGCCCCAAGTTACTGTCCTACCTTTTTTAGATATTCCTTAACCCTTCCCAAGCCTTCTTACCTTACTCTCTCCTTTTTTTTTTTTTTTTTTAAGGTAGCTCTACACCCAATGTGGGATTTGAACTAATGAACTCAAGCTCAAGAGTCACATGTTCTACCCACTGAGCCAGCCAGGCCTTTTCCAAGCATTTAAAAAAATTTTTTTAATGTTTATTTATTTTTGAGAGAGAGAGAGACAACAGAGCGTGATCAGGGAAGGGGTAGAGAGAGGGGGAGACACAGAATGCGAAGCAGGCTCCAGGCTCCAAGCTGTCGGCACAGAGCCCAACAATGGACTTGAACTCATGAACTACGAGATCATGAATGAGCTGAAGTCCGACCACTGAGCCACCCAGGCACTCTCCCCACCCCAAGCCTTAAATAGTTCCTTTGTTAAAATTTCCTCAGTTACTCTGAGTATGGCATTTCTGCTGCCAGGACTTTGACGGAGACCATGATTTACCTTTATTCTCTTTCATATGTGTGCTATTTATATGAGAAAGGTTTTCTTGTTTCTTATTAGGAATAATAGAAATGGTAGACATAGAATTAGAAATGGAAAGGACAGAATTCTAGAATTTGAATGGCTTTCAATTATATCTGATCTAGCTTACCACTAAATGCTATACTTCATAAAATAGACCTGCTTCATCCCACTCATTACAACTTTTCAAATATTTGCTGGCAATTAGGGTTTTCTCATCTAGCCTAAATATTATCAGTTCCTTCAACAATTTTTCATGCAGCATGGTTTCTAGATCTTTCTCTAGCCTGACCATTGAATATGTTCCTCTGGATGCATTCTTAAAACGTTTAGAGAAACATTGCAAAGTAATCCAATGGAGAAATCTCACTGAACTGGAGAAGAACCCAGACCTCCCTACCTGAAAAGCACAGGAATGAACAAGCGCACCCGGAGGCTCTGGCCATCAAGTGGAGTCTCTGACTTGAAAATAGGAGCATGAGTGGAAGCAGGACTTCCTGCTGGAGGGGAAGTGCCTACACATCATCACTATACTTCCTGCATGTCACAGTTCCAACTCTTAGATTTTATGCTTTACTTTTTCTTCTGTACTTTTTCTTTTCTTTTTTTGTAAACTTTTAATGTTTATTTCTGAGAGACAGAGAGAGACAGAGCATGAGCTGGAGAGTAGCAGGGAGAGAGGGAGACACAGAATCCGAAGCAGGCTCCAGACTCCTAGCTGTCAGCATACAGCCCAACATGGGGCTCAAACTCATGAATCATGAGATCATGACCTTAGATGGATGTCCAACCAACTGAGCCACCCAGGTTCCCCTCTTTTCTATGAAGGAAGAACAGCAATGGACTTCTAGCCAGGCCAAGAATTAAAATGAAACATAGGAGTGCTTTAAATTCCCATGGTCTGGACATCTCCTTACCCCCAACCAATCCAGATTCCTCTCTTGGGCTTCAAATGTTTTGGCCAGAGGTAACTAGGTCATTTGTGCAAAACAGTGCAGAGCCTGCAGCACAAGACATTTTCTTGAGTGCTGAGCTTCTTTGATTTTCACACTCACACTCTGCAGACCTCAAAGTTGTGGAATTATCAATACCGTGAACCTAGATTGCCTAATTCAGGCAAACCAGAAGATCCAAGGCGAAAGATTTTTGTCCAAAATTGCAGAGTAATGTACTGGTCAAGCCAGGATTAGAACCCAGATCTCTTTTGTCTCTGTAACCCTGTCTTTCTTTTCAGTTAATTTTCCCCATTCTTTTACCACAGATTACGAAACTGAAATGAAGAAATCAATACTGCTAGTACCCAAGGCATCCAGGTCACATAGGGGCAGCAATTGAATTGCACAATTGCCGTGAAAGTATTGGGGAAAGATGGCTATGTGCACATTACATTTGACACAACCTCAGAGGTGAAGCAAACCATCATTTTATTCAGAGGGTTCAACTACCTGTCCCATCTGAGTCTAAATTCCGTAGCATATAAATATTTTCAATCAACTGAGCCAGGTCACTAAAAGGAAGGTTCACGCTAACAGATTCCTGAGTTTCCGTCTCCAAATTTAGACACAGAAAATGTACGATTTACAAGTTACAAAGTGGAATCAGAACTTGACTTTATTCTTATGCTCTTTTGCATGCATTGTGTTTATTTCCTGTACGACTGTGCCCTGTTTGCTGAACTGACTTTCAGAAGAGGGCATCAGATATTTGCATATAGCATTTAATACGACTTCATCATAAGATTCAAGGTAACTATCTCCTTTATTAAATGAGACGGGGAAGGGGGGTGACAAAAATGTTATCTTAAAAACTACTATTAATTGTAGGGACTGCCTGGTAAAAACTACATTTGAAGGACTTAACAGATAAACAAAATTTCAAGAATCTATCACTGAATTCTAACCAGCTGATAGGAAATTTGAAGTGTCCTAACAAAAGTCTATTTGCATCCACCGTTCTGAGCTGAACTATATAGGGCAAGAGAGAATCTCACACCAACAGAACTCTTCATAGCAATTTAGGGGGAAATGACTGTGTAAGCTGAAGAAACCACTTCCGAACAGCTGAATTTCAAGACTCTGGCAGATCAATAGGGCAAAAGTAAGCAAAATTACAGCAGATGCTGTTGAAAGTGGCAGAACCTCAGGTGCATCAGATGATCCCAAACTGAGCAAGCTCATGCAATTCCAGGTGGCTGAACGCCTCCCAGGGGCAAATCACCGTGATATCTGCAGAAGAGGGAAGAAGAACTTGTAAGTCTGCCTCACCACCACCACCCCAACTTTGGGTGCCTCTTCTGCTCAGAAAGACATCCTTTGGGCAGAGACACCTCACTCCTCTCTCCTACTTGTTGTCTCAGCAACCAGGAAGTTATCTAGAATGGCCCTGCAGCCCAGAAAGGATCAGACCAATTGGGTTCTGATGCCCCCGGAACAGACTCCACTTAGTAGGCATCTTCACTGGTTTCATTCTGTACCTCTTTGAAGAGATTGCCCAAGGCTTTTGACTGGAGCTAGCCTGAGGGGGTGCATATCACTGATCAAACGGGGTCTCCCCAAAGCACAACCACTATGGAAGGAACAAAAGTGGAAATCTAGTCAGGCCAAGGGTTAAAATGGGAAATAGAAGCACTTTAAATCCCCACAATCTGGAAATCCACTGCCTTCTTACCCCCTACCAATTCAGATGCATTCCTTGGGCTTCTCTGATGCACTCTTTTGTTCCTTTACATTTTGAAATGCCTACAATGCCCAATCACATACTGAGAAATAATCTCAAGACATCTACTAATCCAATTTTTCACTTCAGGCAATAAAATATTATTATCCCTGGATTACAGAGAAGCTGACTGGAACCTAAAGAGATTAAAAACCTATATATATAAAAAAAAAAAAATCGGAGTTACAAGGATGGGACTAGAACCAAGCCAAAGATCTCAAATCTCCCTTCAGTGTAAAGCTCTTTCTAGTATTCCAAATATGTTGGCAGAGTTAAACATAAGCCCAAAGCCAACCTACTGGTCTTCTATACACCTGGCCAAAATACAGAAGCAGTTGATTTAGGAGAACAGCGAAATGAGCTCTGTAAAGGGGCTAGAAAATGAATTTGAGATCCCAGGGGTGGCACTTGACTGCAAAAAGCAAGCACACTGAGAATTGCCTGGTAAGGACACTGATTGCCAATTATATCATTTGTCAAAAGAATATTGGGTGAGTTTAAGGCATGTTCACACAAAAACATGCACAATTGTGTTCATAGCAGTATTATTCATAATTGTGAAACTTGGAGGCAACAAAATCTTTCAATAAAATAAGCAAACTGATACAGCCATTCAATGAAATATTATTCAGTGGTAAAAAGAAATGAGCTGTCAAGCCACATAGGACATGGAGGAACCTTAAATGAATAAACATTGCTAAGTGAAAGAAATCAGTCTGGAAAATCTGTATATTGTGTGATTCCAACCATATGACAATCTGGAAAAGGCAAAACCCTTGAGTGTAAAAAGATTTGTGGTTGTTAAGAGTTTGTGGAGGTGGGAGGAGGGATGAACAGATGGAACACAGGGGATTTTTAGAGCATATATTCTGTATATACCTGTAATGATGGATACACAACGTTGTGCATTTGTCAAAACCCATAGAACTGGACAACACAAAGAATGAATCCTAATATAAACTATGGGTGTTAGTTGATAAAAATGTTACCAATACTGGTTCACCAATCGTAACAAATGTGCCACACTCATGCAGGATGCTAATAGTAGGGGAAACTATGTGCAGGAGGAGGAAGGTGGCAGAGGGGGCATGTAGGAGCTCCATACTTTCTGCTTAAATTTCCTGTCAGCCTAAAACTGCTCTAAAAAATAAAGTTTAATATTATTAAAAGGAATATCTGGTAATTTGTGTTCATTAGTCAACAAATCAAGTTATTCTAGTCAACCGAAATTTTGTATTGGATACATTCAGGGTGCAGGCCCTGCTCTGGGTGCTGGAGGATGTGTAAAAAGAGGAAGTTGGTTACAGAGTGGTTTGCCAGGCCCCACCCTTTTTTCCAATATCTCACTCGGGGGCCTCAGATTGTCCCTTAATTTCTCTCTGCCTCAGGTTTCTCTTCTGAAGAAATAATGAAGTTGGGATGGACTAACCCTGAGAATCTTTCTACATTGAAAGTCTACGACTCAACCATTATATGTCCTCAAGAGTTGCTTAACAGAAGAGGGTTTAGTAACTCTGGGCCTTAGCTTGATTCCTGTAGGTGTGTTTCCCCTATGCACACGTGCACTTACTTAGGAGGTAAAATTAAACCCCACATTTCTACGCCTTCAAGGATCTGCTGCCTCAGGTATTTCTTTTAACTTTTCACAGCCCTTTGAGGGCTAAAGTGTGTATAGTAGTGAAATTCCGAGTGAAAGTCCACATCTTTTGGTGGCTCACCTGTTCCTAGCCCCTCCATGCCTGGAATGTCATCTCCAAACCTGGGGGAAAAAAGAAAAATTAAAAATTAGCTGAAAGAGTGAAAAGATCTTGGAATTACTCATATAGAGAGTTTCCTGATGAAAGGGGAAGAAGAGGTTTAGGTTTTTGTCTTTGTGAAACACCTTTAATTTGCATTGACCCAGGGCAAAGGCGATGTCACTCAGGCTGTTTTCAGACAGCGTGTCCCCTTGGAAAGAGATTTTTTTTTCCCTTGTAAGAATATAGCCTATGACAACTGAGAACCAAATAGCACCATCATGGGGGAAATTTAGTCAAGTTCCACTTTTAAAAATAGAAATTGGAATGAAAACACAGTATGAAAGGCATTAAAGTGATCAATTTATCCATTTGATCAGTTATCCAAAAGCATTTATCAAAGCATTTACTATATGTCAGGCATCGTATTGAGCATAGGGAATTAGGGAAAAAAAAATAAATTTTCTTTGAGGGACTTCAATCCCTGAGAACAGATGTAAGTAAACAAATGTAGTATAAAATAATACAAGTTGTGATAGCTGAATGTATGAAATGCAAACATAGAAGTAATGATCACACTTGTCTAATAAGAGAGTCAGTAATGGCGTCCAAAAGGAAATTAACAAATGAGCATATGTTAAAGAATAAATAGAATTTGTCCAGAAAAAAGCAAAGAACTGAAGGCATAACATTTGTTGCCATACAAATAAACTGAATAAACTCTGTGTTCTGGCAATGGCCATTGTTTTAGTATTCCAGATTAAATCACAGGGTGTGCTGGTGAGGAGGAGTGGTCAAGAAGAGTCTGGAAGGTCAAGTCGAAGTTTGCTGTGAGAGGCCCCATTTGCCATGCTAAATGTCACCACAGACCTGGTTGGTGAGGGAGAAAGGATTCCGGGGCTAAGGACACGATTCAGCGAAGATTGTGGTAGAGAGGAAAATAGAGCAGAGGGTGGAAGTCTTTGTAAGTCTGTTTTCGTTTATGAGCATTAATTTCTCAAAACCAAAGCAGGGTTGTGGGGAAAAAATAGAGTCTTCTTTTTAATTTGGTCTTACCCTTTCACCCCTTTCTTAGGAGGTTTGCTCTTGAATTGGCGAGTCTGCCTCTGCTTGAACTTGGGGGGCCCTTTGCGTGGGGTAGTGGGACCCTGGTTTGAAGCTGGAGGAGCCAAAGCAGTGTTGTCACTCATTCTGATGTCCTTGGGTGTCTGGTGGTTCTCTTTCGGACTCCTTAGGCAGTGAGAGAAAAAAAAGAAAGCCCTTCAGGGTACAGGAACCATTGCTTCTTAAACCATCATTGGACACTCCAGAAAAACTTAGGATTTTGTGTTGACATAAAAGGGAAGAATTTATCATCTTTTAAAGAGATTGTCAAGAAAATATCAATGGAGGCACTTAACATAGACTGACAATGAATAGAGTAAAAGTCTATTTTAATCTAAAATAATCCCCCAAAATCTAAATAGACATGTTGTTTCAATAAATTGTCCCTAGCTTTCAATGTGTCACTAGTTTTCTGGTTTATTATGATATATACTTCTCCGTGATTACCAGTTCCACCATCTGTAAAGCCAAGGAAATGGACTAAATGCTAACTATAGTCTTTACAGCATTGGTATGTTCTTTAAACTTTATATATTTTTCCACCCAACTGCAAAATAACCCGACTCTGAATGTTTATTGACTCACATTTTATGGGCTTCTTTCTTTATAATCCTTATTTTGTCTAATCCTCGTGTGATCAAGATACTTCTCTAGTTCTCTACTTCTCTAGTTCTGGGGGATAGCACTTGGGGAAGCTCTGCACCAGGGATACTAACACCCACATAATATTCGATCCATTCCAGTACACACGCGCGTGCATGCGTGCACACACACACACACACACACACACACACACAATCAATGGAGGGTGATTAAGTAGTAAATTTGTGCTTTCGCTCCATATCCAGTGTGAGGTTCTTAAGTCACCCATTTCTCTGAAATGTCCAATATTTTCTTCTATCCAAATCATGGAACTTATCCAATGTGACTTTCACAGACTTTGATTTTAGCTACAGAAATGTACATTGTCATTCTTCAAGTAAAAATAGAGGTGTGTTAAAAAGATAAAATTAGGGGCGCCTGGGTGGCGCAGTCGGTTAAGCGTCCGACTTCAGCCAGGTCACGATCTTGCGGTCCGTGAGTTCGAGCCCCGCGTCGGGCTCTGGGCTGATGGCTCGGAGCCTGGAGCCTGTTTCCGATTCTGTGTCTCCCTCTCTCTCTGCCCCTCCCCCATTCATGCTCTGTCTCTCTCTGTCCCAAAATAAATAAAAAAACGTTGAAAAAAAAATTAAAAAAAAAAAAAGATAAAATTAAAAAATACATATGCTAGGCCAAAGGATGACTTTTTTTCTTTCTCCTTTTCTATCACAAAAGTTGATAACACCTATCCTCGGAAGGAAGATTCTAGAAAGTGTGAAACAACTTCTCAGTAGCCTTAATCACTTACTCTGAGCAAAACCATCTCATACTCTGCTACCTGGAAGGTTTATATAATCTGTAAATTATAGACTTATGCTAATATTATTAGCTTCAACTCTCCCTGACACTCTTTGGCCCGTACTAACCATCTTTCTCTTTTTCTGCCACATTGAACATCCCTCAAATCTTATATTGTATGACTTTGAGTTCATCAACTTTTTCTGATTACTTTCAAATAGGTTTAAATTACTATCTTTGCCAAAAGATATTTTCTCCTTATCTTCTTTTCCCCACTTACTATTTTCATTTTCTCCTGCTGATTCTCAAGTTCTTCAATAGAAACACATTGACTAATCTGTGAGTGGGTACCAGGGGTGGTGCACCTGGCTAGGGCTCTGGATCACTTGTTTATGCCATGGATTTTATCTAAGTTCTCCACTGGAATGTGTTCCATAAGCCTGTTTTTTTTTTTGTTTTTTTTTTTTCAGTTTTCATTCATTTCTGTGACCTTAGAACCTACAACAGTGCCTGGAGCATAGCAGGTGTGCCATATATATTTGTCGAGTGGGTCAATAAATAAGTGAAAAAATTGAACTAATACTTGGGATATTGGGTTGCAAGATCCTGACCCTGTGACTTCGCCATCAAACCATAGAGAAGGCATCATTTGGCCTTCATCTCACAAAGCTCTCAGTGGCTTTTGGAAATAGGCTGCCAGCTCCTCTGCTCACTGAATCCAGTCCTTGTGCTATGGTCCCTCTTCTGCCCTAGTAAACAGCCAAAGTTTGTGCCTCATCCGAATGTGGTTGGGACCATGTAACCTGCTAGTAGGCAGCCAAGAGACACATTATTGTCAGAGTTTACCACCGCTAACTGACACATCCCAATTCTGACAAAGTCATAGAGGAAAACTAGACAATTTCTCCCAGATCAAGTTTTTGTGACTTCTCAATTCTTTCAAAATGTTAACATACCACAAACTTTCCTTTCTCTCATCTGGAGAGTTTACTAGGACTAGGATTACCAGATTTAGCAAATAAAAATACAGGGCACCCAGTTAAATTTGAATTTCAGATAAATAACAAATATTTTTAGTATAAGTATATCCCAAATATTGTATGGTATATACTTATACTAAGAGAATTATTCATTGTTTATCTGAAATTCTAATTTTACTGGAAATATTTTATTTTATCTAGCAAGTCTAATTAGGATCCCACCATGTGAGATCTAGAGTCTACAATATGAGGGCCTAAGGTAAACTAATCAGTCAAATTACACTTTGAGGGCAGTGCAATGTAAAAGGTATGTGCTTGGGGTCCCTGGGTGGCACAGTCGATTAAGAGTCCTACTCTTGATCTTGGCTCAGGTCATGATCTCATAGTTCATGGGTTCAAGCCCCACATCAGGCTCTGCCCTGATGGCGTGGAGTCTGCTTGGTATTCTGTCGCTCCTCTCTGCCCCTCCCCTGTTTGTGTGCTCTCTCGCTCTCTCTCTCAAAACTAAATAAATTAATTTAAAAAGCAGAGAACGTGTTTTAGAATCAAATAGACATAGTTTCAAATCCGTGCTCCACAAAACTGTCCATGTGACCTTGGATAAGTTGCGTAACTTCTCTGCTCCTCATTCCATCTATAGAGTCAATCAAATATAACTTCTTTTTTAGAGTTACAGGGAAAATTAAAGGGCATGAAGTAAATAAGAAATAAGAAAAAGAGTAACTATGCAATAGACCTTCTACAAGTAGTGGAAACCAGGCAAGTAAATCTATAATTATGACACAGGTTCACCTGCACTCCTACACTCATTCTCCTGGGCCAACTGCTGAAGATCCCCTGTCATGTACCAGAGAAGTGACCGTCATTCAGCAGTTGCTGGGTAATCCTCTGCATCCCTCAAAAACCCTGACTATTAATTTATGCCTCGTCTTGAAATTCTGTCTTAAACCTTCCTTGGATTCCTTTGACATCCCTAACAGCAGTCCCAAAGAACGTAAAAATTACACTTGGTTTCCATCTTTCCCTGATTATACTTCCCCTTTTTTCTTATAAGTTTCTTTTGCATGTTTTCACATATAATTTTGAAGTTGCACCTCTGGGCTTGCACAGACTTCCTGTCTATGCTAGGTGTGATGCATTATGTAAAAGAATTCTCTTCAGAAAGAGTTACATAACAGTTGCCTGGTTAATCCCTGGATCATGAAGATAACCCTCAGGGTTTGCACTGTGGAAAATAAGTTTATGTTTCGTGTGCATTTCATGTACAATATTTCATTTTTGAGTACATAGGAGTACATAGGTTGAGTACTAACCCCTAGAGTGTTTCTGTCATAGATATGCCCTGTTGTTCTCCCTGTTCAACTTTTGGGAGGAGCAGACAAATATGACCCTTTCCTGGGTGGAAGTTAGTGTTGTCTGCCATAGATATCACCATAGCTAAACTTATCCTGACCATGCTTTCCTAGGAATTAAAAGGGTATCTCCCGGGCTAAATAATCCTGAATCTAGAGTCAGACTCGATTTTACCTAAAAAGGACGTTTCACATCTTTGCCTCCCCAAAGTGTCAAGCAATCCATTCCTTTGTGAGGCAGAATGGCTTTCTATTTTTAAGGCGATGCTAGCTCTTCTCCTTTTGAAGGTTATGAAGCATTGTTCTTCAGGAAGAAGTGGATGCCGCAGAGTACTACATCAAGGTGCAGTTTGGTTGGAAGCCAGGGTTGGTGTCGCCTTAGAGCCAAGGCAATGGAGCTCAGCTGTAGGAAGCTACAGAGGATGATCGTTTATAAATTCCAGCTAAGGAAAAGCAGTTTCAGAAGGTTCTTGAGTCAGGATCTCTGATGCTGCTGCTATCACCCCAGACTTCCGGTCTCTCCTCAGCAAAGATACAGGCTGAGGGGCTATAAGAGAAGGGTTGGGGAGGAGATAGATACAGGTGTGTTCTCTCTGCACTGATGGGGTTGAACCCATAAGGATTCTGCTGAAGCAGAGAGAATCAAATAATTTGGAGAGCCAAGGAAGACCCAAACCAAAGTCAAGAAAAGATAAAAACAAAAATCCAACAAGTGCCTTCCTTCAGACTGGAACAAACACTTTGACCTCAGAAAGAGAAGGCTAAGCCACCCACACTGCACCAAGGTCATGCCTGTGCTGGCTCTTGGCTTTCTTTCTCCTTATCCTCACACTCTCATGTTCCCCGTCTTGTGCCTTGGTCTTTTTAAGCACATCCTAGGAATAAATAACTGTTTTCTCTGTGGTCATTTAGTGCCCTAAATCCCTCCTTTCCCAGAAAACTGTTTGCCATGGAACCACAGAAAAAAGGAGGGTCAGTTTGGAGTTCTTTCCAAATGAATTTAGTAATCAAGTTTTGCAATGACCTTGTAACGATCAAGTTTTACTTATAAGCTTGCTACATGACATTATAAGGCTATTTGGGTGTATTTCTTTCATGTTTTCTCTTAGTTTCATTCTCGGCCCCAGTCCAGGCCCACAGGTTCAGTGTGTCCTCTTCTTCCATTTCTTTATTTTAGAGCCAGATCAACCCCTACCCCCACCCCCACCCCCCACCAAAAGCCCTTCAGTTATAATCTGCCTAAACACCACAAGTTGAGAAATACTCACAGAGTTGAATGTTGCTCTCATAAACTGTCCAGTTGCCTTCTTCACAGGAGATGAATAAAGGATCTTTGCACACCGATTTATCTCCCTATAATACCCACATGCTTCTTAATCCCACTGTTAGGAGCTTAGAGAAACAACCCAGGTGCAAAGAAGTTGGAAGAACAAGGGGTGAGACTGGGACAGGCTTAGGAGTTTTCTGACAATTGAATACTCTCAGAAAACTTACTTGGGCTCTCTCCTGTCAGTAAATAGGTATTGAATCCACAAACACACACACAAAGTGTTGATATCCAGGAGTATATTTCCAGTTTGTGCCTCCTCCATTCCCACCGTTAGTCCTTGTTATCCTCCCATTCCTGCCATTTCCCTGACACACACATCCCCAATCATAAATCAATCCCCACCATATGCACATCGTGTCATAATTCTCCTGGGACTCTAGATACTGGAAAAAAGAGTGTCAACCATTGTGTCCCCCTACACCCCATGGGCACACTGGGATGCTGATTGTGTGAGCTATGACACTGAAAAGTATTCAGCATCTCTCCCTAACAGGTACTGTATATATTTCCTCAGTAAGACAGAACCACAAATCAAAAAAGACACAGAATAACTGCTAACTGATGGCATTTATTTGAAATGATTGCTGGATCTTCGTACCCAAAAGCTTCAGGAGCAAGACCCAGGCTGCAATTCAATTCATTGGTACACTTGGTTTCAGTCTTTCAATTACATTGAACCACTAGTGTTAGTTTGGACATCAGTTTGTATAGATCTTAGCCTAATGTTAATATCATCAGGCTCTTTTGACATACTTATCATAGAGAAATAAAGTGATTGATTCAAAACTGCTGATGAAGTTCGTAGTGAATCCAGGAGAAAAAATCTGAGCACACCTTACATATTTCAGCCATCTGTCTGCTGTAGTAGAGTGAAGCAGACATAGACCAAGATGTATCTGTCGTTGGTCTCTCTAAAACCTTGCCAGCGGATTGTGACGTGCCTTCCCTAAATCATTACTTGTTAGAGAATTGCACTCCGTAAGATGATAGAGAAAGAAGGTCAATTCATCCCTCTCGGGCAGGGAAAGCTTCTCAACCAGGGGCCCCGAGCAGATTAAAGGGGCAGCTAAACAGCTCACAGGGTATTTTGATGAGCTTTCCTCTGGTCTTTACCAAACTTAGAGGAGTTCTGAAGCAGCAGACACCTCACAGAGCTGGCAGCGTGTTTGGTGTCTGGATGAGTCTTTCCACTCCCACCTCTGTGTCTCCATTACCATTGAGATCTTCCTCTACTCTTATACACCGGGCACATGGATATTGAGATTCTTATCTGTCAAACCCTCACCCATTCTCTGTTTCTTTGTTGAAGGACTGCAATTCATACAGGCGGTGAATAGAGCAATAAGCGGAATGTTCTCAAGTGTTGCTACTCAGAGTGTAATGGCATGCACACCACCTGGGCATTTGTTAGAAATGCAGGACCTCAGGCCCCGCTCCAGACTGCCTGAACCAGAAGCCGCATTGTTACAAGGTATCAAGATGATTTGTTTGCATATTAATGTCTGAAAATTACTATTATAGACCCATGTGCAGACCCGGTTTTACCACATCTCTGCTATGTGACAAGATCACCACCTCTCTCAGTTTCCTCATATGTCATATTCCATAATGTGCCAAGGTTCTCAGTTTCTGCCATCCCAACAACATCTGAGAGAGATAAACCATACTGATCAGTAGCAGGATTTGTAACCAGTGATTTCCCAATGTTAGAAGGAGGACGAGGGCTGTTGTGCCACGACTCTTCTCCCTCCCAGGGACACCCAGGAGAATGGAGAGTGAAGAGTGGGATGTGTGGGGCAAGGCAAAGTCTATAGTTGGAAAAAACTCTCCTAAAATGATTCTAATATAGCTCTCGATGGTTTATGATTAGAAAAATCTTAAATTGCTTTAAAGATTTAAAAGCTTCTATCGTATCCAGTTCTGGACAAGAATGGGGTAGATATACTTCTTTCCATTTCTCCTGCTAAGTACAGCTAAAACTCCTGGATATTACATATGGAACAAATATAAGAATATTTTAAACGTTCAAAAGAAGATAGATCAAATAGGCAACTTGGGACTCAAGGAACAATGTGGCAGCAAATTCTTTGAGTTCTCTTTTTGCCTTGTATATCCTGACCTAGATGCAAGGGAAGCATCTAGGGAAACACAAACAGGAGCAGACAAAAAAAATTATATATATATATATATATATATATATATATATCCTCTCAAAAAGCCTACTCTCTCTAGACAAATAACCAGGAAAGAGAATCTAGTAAGGCAGAAAATAAGTAGAACAAAATCTCGATGCCGTGGAAACAAATCCAACGTCAACAAATCCAATATCATGGGAAGAAAAAAAGGCCAACATCAACCCCCTCAGCACAAGCAGAGTAAAGAGACTTCCATCCTGGCCCAGTTATAATTAGGTAATCCTACCCCATCCCTACCTGGGTAGTATCAGAGAAGGCCATGTGGGGATATTAAACTTTCATCTCCCACCAGTGATAACAAGGCACCCTCTTCCTTTCTACCAGAATGGTATCAGAGGAGGCCAAATGAGGAATCTTAATTTTCATCACTATTCAGCAATAGCAAGGTATCTAAAGAAGAACAAAATGAAAATTTACAACTGAAAAATAAAACAACCAGCATAAAAAACTCAATGGATGGGCTTGACAACAGAAAAGAAGAAGAAGAAGAAGGAGAAGAAGAAGAAGAAGAAGAAGAAGAAGAAGAAGAAGAAGAAGAAAGAGAGGAGGAAGGGGGAGGTGGAGGTGGAGGAGGAGGACAGCCTGGGACCTGGGAAACTAAAAGATCTAATATTCTTGTCATCAGAGTTCTGGGAGAGGAGAAAAAGATAAGGCTAAAAAAGTACTTGAAGAAATAATGACTAAAAATTTCCTAAATCTGGTGAAAGACATAAGTCTATGGAATCAAGAAGCTAGCAAACCCCAATGAGATAACCCCAAAGAAATGTATGCCAAAGCACATCATAATCAAACTTGAAGAAACTAAAGACAAAACAAATTTTGAAAGCAATTAAAAATATATATATTTATATATATTTGCTTTTGAAAGCAACTTAAATATATATGTATATATATGTACATATGTGTATATATATGTATATATATGTATATATGTATGTATATGTGTATACATATGTATATATGTATACGTGTGTGTGTATATATATATATATAAATATATATATGTATATATATGCCACCTTACCTAGACGTGAAAAAAAATAGAATGACAGAGGATTTCTCATCAGAAACCATGGGTCAAAATGAAAGAAGCAGAACACTTTCCTAGATCTGACCCCCAAAAAACACAAAAAAACAAAAACAAAAAAACCTGTCACCTCTGTCCAGAAATTTATCCTTCAGGAATGAAAGGAAATAAAGACATCATAAGAAAGAAAGGCTAAGGCAATCTATCCCCAGAAGACTTATACTAAAATAAATGATAAAGGAAGTTCTCAAAACAGAATGGACATGATATGAAAGAAGAAAGAGAAATGAAAGAAAGAAAGAAAGAAAGAAAGAAAGAAAGAAAGAAAGAAAGAATTTTGAACATCTAGAAAAAAAGAACAACAACAAAAAGAGATAGTATGGGATACAAGGGAAGTGTGGAAGATAGGACCCTCAACCACATTCAGCAAGGTCTTGTGGAGAATGAAACAGTGTTCCAGACTCTGTGAAGTTCTAAAGATCTGATCATTTTGTACCTTTAGGAAATGTATCCATTGTTCCCTGTTCCAAGGGGCTGTTCTTTCTAACTATTCCTCCTGTTGCCACTGAGTCTTAGAGGATTTGAGTAGCCTGGCCTATCAGCAGTAAATACACACTGCCTCTGTCAGACAGAACAATTCTACCAGATCACTTCATTGGTCATTGGCTAGGTTAGTGATGACTGACTTTTGATTGGTTGCCTATCTCAAGATCTTGTCATTCAGGTAATGGAGTCACATGGCACTAAACAAGCTGACCGATGACCAAGAAATTTCTCTAGACGAACTTTGGTTGTGCTGGACACTAAGATTTCAAAGACATAAGAATAAAACCAACAAGAACCATGCTGGAAAAGAAAAGGAATTATTATTGATAGATGTAATAACATAGATAAATATTAAGCACATTTCACTAAGTGAAAGAACCCAGAACTGGAAGGCTCTATACTGTCTGATTTAATTAATGACATTCAGAAAAGACAAAACAATAATGTTGAAGAACAGATCCGTGGCTGCCAAGGGTTGAGAGAAGCTGACTGCATGTAAAGGGACAATGCAAGGGATTTTAAAGGGTGATGAAGTTATTTGGCATCTTGATTATAGTGGTGGATCTATAAGTCTATGCATTTGTCTAAACCCATAGAAGTCCACACCACAGAAAATGAGTTTTGCTATATGCAAATTTAAAACTTAAATATCATAAAATACTTTTTACAAATTATGTTTCATAGCTCTATAATCCTTGGTTCTTGATACTTTCTGACAGATGGGAAAATATTATTAATCATATACAGGAAAAGACTCAAAGGGCAGGTACTAAGTAATTAGAAAGTGATTAAAATTTTAGCTGTCTGATAAGCTCCTTACACAAGTGCTAATCTCTAATCCTTCTTTGGTGTTTCTTAAAATACCTTTGAGTAGGAAGACAGACATCAGAGACACATTCCTTCCACATTTGGATTTTTCTAGTCTGAGATTCCATCTCTAATCAATACATAGTGGACTCCAGAGAGGAACACCCTAAATGTGAAGGAAGAAGTTACCTTCTCTTAATATCTTAATATCTCATCATATTATGCATTTTCCAGACCAACAGTGCAAATCTTAAAAAAATAACTTATTAAATAAAAATACAATACTCTCTTTCAGAAAATGGAGAAGAGGGAACAGTTATCAACTCATTTCATGAAGCCAGTTTGACCTTCATAAACTTTTTTAACACAAAAACCAAAGGTAGCAAAAAGGAAAAATACTGATCAATCTCTCTCATGAATTTAGATGTAAAAATCCTTAACAAAATATTATCAAATCAGATACAGAAGTACATAAAAAT